AAATGCTACATTTGACAATTTAGTAGTTTTATTGTAAGAGCTCAATATTTTCATAAGACTAGAAATTCCTGGGTTTCTTACAATGTCTATTTCTTTACCTGCGACTTCATATCTAATTTCATCTAATAAGAATGCAAATGCATTATTTATAAAATGACCTTTATCATGATTTTCAATTTCTCCCTTAATATACAGATAACTTCTACATGGGAGAGTTAGCAAATCTTCATTATTAATACATATTCGAATTTCATCAGAATTATTTATTGCTAAAGTGTTGTGGGAACATAGGAGTGATTTGTAATTTTAACCACACTATCGTCGAATTGGGATTTCCCTGTAACGTCTAGAAAATCTTCCATTTTTATTAATAGAAAATTTTAACTTTAGTCCTATTGATCGTAGGAACCTAGCATTTTGTACACTTATAGATAAATTCTTATAAATTCTCATATCTTTTTTATATGACAAGTAATTGTAGTTTCTTCTCCATTAAAGTCAATTGCCTTGTCATGCTGATCGGCAAATGTAATACTGACAACATCTAAACTTCTCTTATTTACAGGAAAATATATAATATTTCTTGGAACTTCAATAATTTTGTAGCCAGGAGGAGCTTCTGGATAAAAGCTATGTACGGTGTGTGATTTGTTTCCATTTAAATAGGACCCGTTTGCAATATTACATTTTACTCTAATCACATTTACATTATTAATGTTTATTTTATTTGTAGATTCAAACTGAACACCAGGAGTAGAAACACCTTTAAATCCCAATAAAACAGACCCTAAACATGGTTTTGTAAAATCAAACACGTGGCTAGAAAGTAGTGTAGCTTTCATAGTTTTATTATTAGCTGTAAGAAAAAAGTCTGGGACTTGCTTTTGAATTTCCTTTGCAAGCTCAACCACCTCATATGTTCCTTCAGAAATTTCTATTGTAACTGGAGCTTTGTGGTCATAATAGAAAACATCATCACCTTCTCCAATGGTTAATTTGTTGCCTTTAAGTTGATTTAATTTTGAAATAAGCCCTTTGAATAAAAGTTTGACTTTAGTATTAATTAATGCTTCTCCATTCTTATGTATTATAACTTTAAGTTTACCATCTAATAACTGGTTTAAATCATCAACAGAGATCTCTCCCTTTGGTAATGTTACTTTCTCTACTTTGTAATATGTTAAAGTATTAAGTGGTTTTTTTACATTAAATATAGAATTATAACTTTGAAAATCTACTAATCCAATTACATAATCATCATTTAATTCTATGGGAGGAAAGAACACTGACTTTAGCTCTGGCTCTGTACCCGAAAATGTTATAGTAAATGAATCCATTTTTATAAACAAAAATTTTTTATGAATGATAAACATAAAATTCCACAAGTAGAACTATTTAAATCTTGTATTTGATCAGTAGTATAGAAGATTTTATGTCCCTCAAAATATTTAATTACTTCTTTTGGAGGTTGGATTCCAAATGGGTCAAAATAAATTACAATATCTTTATTTTTACGATATGCTGTCCAATGTGTGCCAGATGAACTGTCTAAATTAACTATTCCGCACTCTTTTACTCTTGGTGTTAGATTTTTTAGCTCGTTTTTTAGGTACACCCCCCGGAAGTGAGGCACGTCTTTTGCGGCCTCTAACAGCTGATAGTTGTCCATATTTTTTATTAAATTTTAATCCCATTCCCATCTTTGCTTTTGCCTTCATCAAATTTGTCACGGCATAAGCAGCTGCTCTTTCAGCAAGATTTGCATCCTTGGCCGTTACTCTAGTCCAAGCTAAGTCTGCTAATCTCATGTCTGCTTTGTTCCGAGCAGCGGTATCGGGATTATTCATGTAGAATATGTCATGCTCTTTACAATAAGAGTCTAGTTTATTTTTTGGAGGTACATTTTTAGCTAAATTCTCACGTATATTCGTTCCAGGTCCACAGTACCGATATGATGGTATGTGAAGTGGAAATGGAAGGTTATTTATAAGAGTATTCAATAACCCTCGACCCCTGTAAGGCTTTAGGAATAAACATTTGCCCTTTTTACATGTTTTCTTATTAACATTTTTTACCATTTTTATTATATAAAAAATGTCTTTTATTCAACAAAAACAAAAATTTAAAATAGTACATACTAAGGAAAATATACCAAAGAAGTTGGGTCTATTTCCTACCAATAATGATGTGTTATTTGTGGTCCAAGTGGAAGTGGGAAGACGGTTGTAATTTACAATTTAATTGTAAGAAAGGAAGGATTAAAATTTACAAACTTATATTTAATATCCAAATCATTAGAACAAGAAAAATATAAAAAAATAATTTTAATATTTAATTTGGGCGACGAAGTGAAATTACACACGTTTACTGACTGTGAAATCACACCAAATGATGTAAAATCACAGTCAGTTGTTGTATTTGATGACATAAATAGTCCAAATATTACACAATTTTTCTCAATGGGTCGACATAAAAATATTAACTGTTTTTATTTGTGTCAATCTTACAGCAAAGTACACAAACATTTACGTGATAATGTTAATTTCCTAATATTATTCAAACAAGATGATTTAAATTTAAAACATGTATATCGCAACCATGTTGGCAAAGACTTTTCATTTGACCAATTTAAACATCTCTGCCACCAATGTTGGGATAAAACTAAATATGGCTTTTTCGTAATAGACAAAGAAAGGTCAAAGAATAATGGCAAATATAGATTTATGTTTGACCAATTCTATCAAGAGGATGGTAAGGGTAAATAAATAAAAGACTTTTTTTAACATTTGTATTTAATTTATATCTACACATACAATTTATGTTTGATCAATTTTATAATGACCAAGAGCAAGAGTATTCATGTTCATATTTTATAGAGTGGACATTAACATATTAAAATCATGAATTAAACAATAATGTGATTTAGGACCTTCTTGTAATAATAATAAATCTATATGAGTATTACTACTATCTAGCTTGGTTGTTTTTAATGGATATATACATTTCTGGTCTTCAACTCCAAATACATTGACACTTATATTATTCTGTCTTTCGAATTTATCTATGTCAGATATTTTTACGGGATATTTTATATTTGTCATATTTAACTGTGTTTCATAGGGTGTATAGTTAGATACTCGTTCAGCATGTTCGTTAAAGTTCCTTGGATATAAAGCTGCTTAAACTGACCAAAGGAAGCATTTATTATCTGTATTCTTTATATTTAGAACTGCTTTTGTCAACTTAATACTTTTTGGTGTGGGGATATATGACTTTGGAGTTAAGGGCTTATACTTGTAAACATGCAACTGCCAATATTTAGTATGGTCATATATCCATCCACTGCCTTGGGCTTGATATTTATGAATCGATGTGTCAATCTTTAAAAGTGCATTTTCAATTTGAGATTTTAAATCTCGCTTCTCAATAGTTAAGGTAGTAAGGCTTCTAAAATCCGCTATACATTCTTTTTCATTAACTAATTTTCCATTTTGATCCATTGAATATTATATAAATTTAATTCTCCTTACTAAAGTCCATTTTATTGGGAGAGAACAAGACTTAAGAGTATTTTCAAGGTCAGCTCTAATCGACTCTCCAATAAATTTAATGATTGTGTATGGACAATTATTGCAAAAATTTCTATGTCTTCTAAAATGACCAACAACATTTTTCTTACAAAAACTACAACTCTTGTGATTTTGTAATATATGTGATTTTAGAGCCATGTGGCTATCACATATAAAATCACAAACTTCACACAGTTTCACCTTCATTTGATGCATTACCTTATAGTGGCGAATCAGGTTGCTTTTGTTGATGAGCGACACGGAGCAGTGTTGACATGACGGCTTCATGTTTAGGAATGAGGTCTCGGGCTGATGCCACCTCTATATATAGACTTTTGGAAATTTTCCAATTTTTTCTTTAATTTATAAAATTTTAGAAACTACTTCAACAAATCCAGGACTCGATCAAGAGCTACCACTAGAGACAAGAAGCAAGACCCATAGGAGCGGCATTTCACAGCCCCACCACTAGAGGCAAGAAGCAGGAGCGCGCCATGAGCCGGGAGCGCGCCCGAGTCCGCGTGCAATCTCGCTTGATTTTGAGAATATATATGTGAATGGATGTGGATTTGAAATAGTAATGGAGTTGTACAATGGTATTAAACATTTATATAAGCTTGTACAGGCCGAGAGCTGGATTTTTAAAAAAGTGGCTAAAAAAAGCTCACCATGTTATTCTTATGGGGAAAACGTGCCTAAAGTGAGGTCATATTCTCGGTTCACCACTACTGGTTCTTAACTTAACTAAGCTTTAATTAGGGTTGTACTTACCTTTATCAAGGACAATTCACTGCTGAATATTGTTTTAAAAAATAACAATAATGTAACGACAACCTGACAACAACACTGTATCAAGACGCAAGAGAGAGTAAGACTGAGAAAAAGGCGACACGACAAGATGGCCGTCCTTTCTCCGCCGCCAAAGTTTTCCTTTCCACTTCGTTTTCACGCATTCGCAAAATGAGTTTTTTTTCTCGTGTCTTGGACGGATCATATTAATATTATCTTCCCGTATTCAATATTTTTTGTATGAGTTTGGTTTAACAGGTGGTGGCGTTTTTTAGTTTAACAACATATGAAATATTTATTTTCTTACCATCAGTTAGCAAAATTGATAAGTCGGCGTATAATAAAATGAAAAAAAAAATAATAAATGCAAATTATAAATCAATATTTTGTGTAATTTACATGGAAAACAAACATCAGGAAAATTTGTGGACAACTAATTAGGAATATTGTAATTAAGCACTCAGACAACAACTGACAAAAAATCCTAAAATGTCTATTCATCACTACTCTTTCATGTTTAAATTTTTAAGGTGAAAATAATGATTCCCGTTTTACTTTCACCTTTTAATGATATGGTTCTTCAGGTGAAAAAAACGTTATTGTCCACTTATGTCCCGACTGGGATGTGGCCGAAGACCGTACATTAGTTGCCGGGCTTGCCTTCTTGGTTGTTTTGTTATCTGCATTCACCTTAGGTTTATTCTCTCCATTTGGCTTGGTAGTAGTGGGCGTATTCGCTGGCTTCTTGACAGAGTACCTAAAATTGTCGAAGATTTTCCGCCGTTCAAGAGTGCCAGCTGTCACCGCAGAATTCAGGTAATCACGGATAGATGAAGACACCTTTTCATTGATGTAAACCTTGTAATTTTGGGCGATGTATGTTTTTATAACCCGTAAGCTGGAACCTCCACGCGTGTTCAGATTATCGATAGCCGCGTGTACCATGTCAGATATAGGGGGGTGTGTGGTCTTATTAGGTTGTTTCTTTCCTGCCGCTACCTTGGATTTCTTGGGTGTAGCTGTGGCTGGGGCCGGTTCAGTTGTCGGCGTGGTTGGTTCAGTAGTTATATCTGGGTGCGGAGCCGATGCAGTAACTGTAGCTTCGGGTGGGTCCGGTTCAGTAGTGGTAGCTTTAGGCATAGCCGGTGCAGTAGTTCCATCTGTAGGTGGGACCGGTACTGCTAAGGGCGGGGTTGGTTCGGTAGTTATATCTGGGGGCGGAGCTGGTGCAGTAACTGTAGCTTCGGGTGGGTCCGGTTCAGTAGTGGTAGCTTTAGGCATAGCCGGTGCAGTAGTTCCATCTGTAGGTGGGGCTGGTACTGCTAAGGGCGGGGTAGGTTCAGAAGTTATATCTGGGGGCGGAGCCGGTGCAGTAACTGTAGCTGTGGGTAGGGCCGGTTCAGTAGTGGTAGCTTTAGGTATGGCCGGTGCAGTAGTTCTATCTGTAGATGGGGCCGGTGAAGCTATTGGCGGAGCCGGTGCAGTAGTTCTATCTGTAGGTGGGGCCGGTACAGCTGTGGGCGGGTTTGTTTTAGTAGTTATATCTGTGGGCGGAGCCGGTGCAGTAGTTATATCTGTGTGTGGAGCCGGTGCAGTAGTTATATCTGTGGGCGGAGTCGATGCAGAAGTTGCCAAGTCTGCCGTCGTTGGTTTGACAGAGGATTCTCTGTAATAATATTTACTTGTTTACTGTGGTGTTCCTGTGTTATCTGCAAAGACCTATATCATATATCATACTTAATATTATAAATGTAACAGTCTGTGTCCGTGTTTGTAATTACTTTTGGTTTTATCACGCAATGACTACTGGTTGGATTAGGCTGAAATTAAGCGTGATAATAAAATATAGGCATTCCTAATTAACATAATATAGGCATATTCCGATCAAAAAATACTCTCAGGATTACCCCTAATGGCTCTGGAGTTTCCCATGTTAACATTATGATTATATAAATTCAAAAGAAATTTTAGAATCTTAACAGCTGTTTCAACTAAACTCGTGAGTTCTAAAGATGTTTAATAACACGGAATAGTTACAAGGTTGATCAGCAGGTTGGAAAACTATTAATTGTTTAGTTTTAATCCATAACAGCAGCTAATAATTTCTAAAGTCGGGACTACGCAAGTCTGCAATTGGTGGCAGCCAATCACAAGACAAGGCTAGTGCAACGTTGCCACATCATCCCTTGACAACACTAATTAAAATATACTAAGCAATATTTTCAAATCAGCTGGTATTATTAGATTTGGCAACACCGCACGGTTTTAATTAGTTCATTTAAAACCATATGGTAAATAGGCTCCTCCCTCAACTGCAAACTTACGTGGTCCCGACTGTGAGCACAGAAAACGTACTACTATAACCCAGAATGCCAACCGCATGGTAAAAAGCATTAAGCGGTTTGAGAGAGCTTTGCCTGGCAACGCTATTGCATGACAACGCTGGTGGCGCTGCCTACGGATTGACAGGCAAAGCTCTCTCAAACCGCTTAATGCTTTTTACCATGCGGTTGGCATTCTGGGTATAGTAGTACGTTTTCTGTGCTGTAAGCAGCAACAAGAAGCTGTGATACACACAGATAACTATCACGGGGTTTTTTTTACTATTGCTTACAGTTATTTTTACGTTTATAATTAACGATATTGTTTTACGATAATTTTTTTTAACAATTGACGATATTGTTTGAAAAGAGTGTTTTTATTTTTAAGTACATATCTCTTCGATTTATTTACTGTCTTCTATTTCATTTTTTTTAATGAATTGTATTTGTATGTTTTTTTTTCAAATTAACATCTGGGAAATAGTGTATTATGTTTATACTTTTAGTGGATATTGATCAAGTGAATTACTTGGATGGAAGGAACTAATCTTATGGATGTTAAAAATTGGAGTATGTCAATAAAGTGAAAACTATTGACTACTTGAGGTGATTTATTTCCATGAATAGATCCAATATACCACAGGCTTAATAGACATAGTCATTTTATATTTAACACTCTCCTATGGCTCTGCCCTGACGGCTTGCAAAGTTGATATACCGTTTTTATTAATACACTAAATATTAAAATTGCCAAATGTACATTAAACAAGTGTTTGCAAAGGATTTTGTTGGTGTGTTTTAATTTTATAAAAGTCGTATTAATTGAATTAATAGCTTTTCATACACCAGAACCTTAGATCATAAATTATTCTCCTTATCGTCCTATTCTCATTGCGAAGTAAGGTTGTTGCGGCCTGTAGGTAATAAAGAGATACGAACAAAAGCAATCCATATCACCAACAATGTAATCATAATTTGTGCTTTCCAACCAAATATATCTTACCTTATATCATGCAAGTGAATACTGTCCACCTTCTCAACACAGATGTGCACTGTTGAATCATGTACCATCAGCTCTATATGTCTCCCTGGTATCAGACTCGCTATCTCTCTTGCTGCTTCACAACATTTCAATCCTGTCACCACTTCTTCAGATGGAGCCAACCTTAAGTCATTCTGGTTGTACTTCCTTCTTCTACACTCCCCGTCCTTAATTACCATCATGGAACCAGGCTCGTTTTTTTTGCACAGCACTGCGTAATTCTCCGTTGGCAGAACGCTGGCAAAAACACCATCCCTTTGATTCACTCTCAGCTGTTCCACTTCTTCTTCTGACGTTACATGGCATTGGAACTCGTCGTAGACTACGCTGCTCTCCACAAATAAGGCCAAAATGTATGGAGGCCGTTCTATGTTCCCGCCTAGAAGGATCTTGTAGTCAACCACGTCTCCATTGTGCTTTTCGTATTCTTGTACTGGAACTGAAAAACAATTGTATACTTTATTTAGTACTTTACTAGTCCGTTACATTACTGGAAACGATCGATGTACAATATACAATATACTTTAGTTACATTATAGACAGTTATCTTTTTCTTGCATCGTTTCGGACTATTTAGTGCGTTCTGACGGAACAGTTACGGTAGTTGTTTATTTTATCTTGTCACTGTTGCTACACACTTAGAAAATCTGGGTTTTTATTTGTTATTAACAATTATTGACATTTTTTACCTCCTGTCTAATGTACTCGTAAATTTAGATACTTTTATACCTAACAAACAACCAAATTGTTTAGTTGAGATGTTTTACAGCATTTAAAGAATTTTTTTGTGAAACCCTCTTTCAACCTGACCATTGCATGAATACAGTTACGTGTCTATTTAAAAATCGTACAAGATACAATAGTTTGTTTGTATCAAAAAGGTGAGTGGAGGAATACAAAAAAAGATTTAACCGCTATTACATAACTAATGTATTGGATTTTAAGAATGTTTTATTCATTCCATTTTTTATTATCCATTTTGGACATCAAAGTGTACGCATTATAGAATGCTAAAGATTCTAAATTATTTGCGAAGCGCAGCGAGTGCCGTTCTTTTTTGCCGTGGGGGTCATAACCTGTCAAAACTGTCAGGTAGGCCCTAGTACTACTTGACTCCCCAGAGCGTAAGAGTGATTCAGAGGAGGGATATTAGTGGAAGGGGATGAATGGGCAGGATGTAACGGAGATCTGGTAGGCCTACAGTTTCATAACTGGGCTACCCTGATATCGATTGAAAATACCGATTCGATTAGTAAACCTTCATTCGATTTTTTCATAATCAGTAAGTTCGGTTGAATTAAGTTATGTTTTAACAGTTTCGTTTTATCCCTCAAACAGGGTTTTCTCATCCTGCCCCCCCCCTGGTCGACCTTTTCACCCCCTACCCGCCGCACCGTGGAACCAGTCACTGAAACCTGGCTGGCACTCGCACCGCCAATAGGCTGTAAAATGTCACTCGTCAAAGTGTTTAGGCAAACTGCACTCGGCCCAGCACTCAAATTGTCTTTGGTATATTTCAATGTTATAGTTAACTGGACTTAACGAAATGTAATATTTACATAAACAGCTTCTTGTATAGTATAATTGTTTAACGTACTTAAAAAAATAAATGCAATTTAAGACTTACGATCAGTTTCGGGATCCGAAAGCCTCTTTGGGTAATTTGCATTCGTCAACGTTACGCTGAGCTGTAAATGATTTTTTATTAACACTTGACAAGTCTACAATCATATTCGCTTATTTGTCCTATAAATTGTGCCACTAGTATAATTTTTATCTAAATTAATCACGATTTAATAAACATTTTTCACAGTAAAATGCACATTGCACAAACTGTAACTATATCAAACAAAATGCATTATTGCTTTACTAAAACGTTTATATGTAGGTCTATTCATGTCTTGTTTTGATGAATACTAAGTGAATTTAACTCCTCATTAATAAATGGAAACTGCGTTATACAGTTATATAAAACTATGAATTAAACAGTTGCAACCACCTAACAAAAATCGTGAAAATATTTCAGTGTACTTACTATGAGACATACTACCAGAATCGTTCCCGGCATTTGTAGTCAGCTAAAAATATTAGAAAACTAGAAAACTTTACAAGTAAACACAAACTAGTACATGTAAAGTACCAAATATACAATGCACAGAGTTGTGGATTCAAACACCGTAGAATGTAAAAATTATCAACAGAAACATGTGTTTGTGACATCTGTCAAATTATAGTTAAATTGATCCATCTCTAACAGATAATTAAGTGAAATATTTAATTTTTGCAACTGAACCCTAAGCTCCTACTCTTAATGTTTATCCCAGAAACATACTTCTATAGTTAAGCAATTGCAAATAAAATTATTTACTCTTTTCACGGTTGAAACGTTTGATTTCCTTTGGCATCCTTGTTTTGATTGATTTTATTTGAATATCAACTTCTAGGCAGACTAAATCGTATATAAATTACATACATAACTGATCTTTATCTTGATTTTATGATTACTTGAATAACCAAAAGAAGTTATGTACACTTTCGACATTATTTTTGAGTTTGACAAAATTTTCTGAAACCATGGAACACATTTTAGTCATTTTATTTTATTTATCTATATGACTCCAAATTAAGACGAATCTCAATCATTAAAATTGCGTGTGAAATTGAGGTGTTAAAGTGGTAACTACGTAATTATAAAGTAGCAATAGATCAACAATTTCTTTGGTTTCAAATTGCTTGTCACGTGGATCAAATTTGTTGATTCACCGAAGGTTAAACTGCGGTTAAGCTATATGTAACAAAGACGAAAGATCTGCTTCGAGACCTTGTATTTTAGTGTGACTATACACATTAAATTTTCAGGTCAACATGAGATAAAAATAAAAACGAACTTTCAATGATGTGTAAGAACCGTTGTAAGAGCTCTGCAAGGTAACTACACATAATTATACCGTCGTTTGTGAACAACAAAAAGAGAACATCTTATGTTTTACTTCATAAACTTAGTTAAGATAATTCTTAATCATTTACTTTTCCACCACGCAATACTGTTTATATACATACAAAATAAATGATTATAATGGTTCCTCGATACTCAAACTAGTTTACAAGATAGAATATTGATAATAGATTGATTATCATACAGTAAATTATACAGAATTAACGAAAAATTAACTATAAATTTTATTCCCATAAAGCTGGGTTTTCCTAGGCCCGGAGAGCGGAAAAGAGATTAACATGGTGTTCCGCTCCGCTTCTAGAAAAACAGTAACTTTAAAGTACCTAAGACAAGTGGAGTCCGCTCTGCGCTTCCGCACCTAGGAAAACCCGGCTTAAGTTGTCAAATACATTTAAACAAGGGACAACCCAAAAAAAATTTAGGAAGTTAAATATTTTAAAATTACTACTTTACAATTATTAAAATCATTTGGAATGAGAATGTAATAGTAGCTTAATTATACAGACTGTCCCAAAAGTCCCAGACCGGTTGAATATTTTCTAAACAACAACAGATAAATCAATAAGATTTGGTACATCAACACCACACCTGGGGAGCGGTGGTAGTGGTGTTGTACTTTCGACGGAGCAAAGTCGAAAAAAATTTAGCTATGACAAAAATTAAAGTGTAAACATATGTAAGCTATATAATTAAAATAAAAATTAGGGGTATTCTCTTTTGGCACTGATTGTGTAGTGTTTTTGTTGGAAATTAAAAAAGCTACTACAGTAATACCGATGAATGTCTGTGGAACACAATTGGATATGATAACTACAAGACTACCCCGAGTCAATATTCAATGGGACGACGGTTCCTAGTTAAGGGTTGCTCTGAATATCGACTTTACATCCATTATTCACTATTCACTCCACAACAATACAGGCAAAGGTCGCTACGAAATGTCACCAGACAATCTATCACAATACGAACTGTAATTTGAATTTTACAACATTATTTGAAGTTATATATATTAGACAAAAAAGAAATAATTATGTTTTTGTTGAAACATTTACAATTTAGTAATCAAAAATTGTGAAAAATATATTGCAAAAAACTATCCAATGACTTTATAAATAAGCATTATGATTATACTATTTTATATATTTACATAGATTAAATGAAAAATTTGTTTTTGGCTAAAAAGATTTTCAATACAAAGACAATCAGAGCAAATATATGTTTACAAAACTCAATAAAGGTTTTATCCTAATTGCTTTTTTACATCCTTTGCAATTTATGGAAAAAAACCCTGAGGATGAACAAAAATAAAAAAAACTAACCTATTTTTTACGCCTACGTAATTGTTTTTACAACGAATACAAATACCCTTTTGTGATATACTACATGACAAGAAGAACGTACATATACAGTTTTAAATATTACACAATATTCTAATTATATCTTTTATTAAAATGGAGAAAAATAGCAATAAAAGATAACTATACTAGTCTAATATTTATTAATATATAGTCCAAACGAATCTTAAACAGCTTCAATTTCTAAATATGGTTAACTACTCTAAATTTGATTTTAATTTTCCTGTTAATATTCTCAATATTCATAAACATTATATGGTAGTAAATATACTTCTTGTAACTAAAATACAAAAAACTTTGTGTTTATGTCGTAACAAAGAAACATAGGATTAGTTTCTATTTGTAGAGGTCCAACAAACAAGTTTAATTATAATCACTTATAGCTCATACGGTAAGTCATTTTTACTAGACAAAGCAATGGCCTAAGGTAATTTACTTATTTTATGCCCCTTTATGTAGACGACGTGTCATTCAGCTTAATAGAGCTCAAAACCCTTTTATATGGATATTTCATGATAAAAAAACCAAACAAAAACTCTTTGCTGAATAATTATAAAGCTGAAAAGGTTGTAAATAAAAAAGTACGAAAACATAAATTTTATTACATTTTGGTTATATGCTTGCAATAAATTTAGTTTAAACTAAATTGAACTCTCTATCAATGTTTTAAGGCATTGGGTAAAAAACATGTCTAAATATTATATTAACATTTTCCGGAAGTCCTAAGTTACTCACACAGCCGCCATTCTAATTTTTCACTTGTTAATTTTTTTCAAAAAAGTGGTTAAACGTACGAAATTCGAAACTGTGCACAAATGTGTATGACAACTAGACAAAACCAAAAAATTCTAAATTCACAACAAAAAGGCGGTGATTTACAATTTATTTAAAAAAAACTCAAAAATCTTTGATTCTACAAAAAATATTTTAAGGTTAACATATTAATGAAATTTAATTAGACATCGATTAAGGCCTGATGTTTTTAAGATTGGACGAATATTAACTGAGATATGGCAGCTTTAGTGACACGTAACCGTATGCCTCGGGCATGCACTGCAACTAACCTCAGCGGCCATAAGTTTCAATTTCGTATATTAAACCACTTTTAAGAAAAAAAATAATGAGTTAATAAAACAAAATAGCGGCTGTGTGAGTAACTAAGGACTTCCGGACATTTTATATATAATATTTATATATTCTCTTACCCAGGAACAATGCTCCAAAATAGTGGTAGAGAGTACCGGGACACCCTGTATGTACTTAAAGAGAGTGTCCATCTTTGAACGAGAGGAAATGTTGACTCAAACTAAAGCGAACACAACAAAACACCGGACGTTTGTCCTCCGACCACACTTCTTTTTTAGACTTCTGTCTCCATTAAATAGACATTTCCTTCATATATATAGGACTACTAGTTAATTGTATGACATAAGGGATTATTTTAATTTTATAAAAAATATTTAACTGCACGATGTTAGATCATAAACTTAAAGATTCGAGTAAATTTCGATTCCATTCTCGTACAGGCTATAGGGACAGTATCATTATAATGAATTTAAAAGTAAACCAATTCGTTGGTAACACACCTCTGATAAATCTTATGACGACAAAATCACTATTCATGCAAGTTTTTTACGCTACAAAAATATCAGTATCCAAACAGATAAAAAAAAACACGTACAGAAAGAATAGAGGCTCCAAACTAAGTGGTTTGAATATAAAACGTCAATGCACTAAAAAAATCCGTCTTATAGAAGTCAATTCTTTCACACATCTCTCAGCAGTGGCAATTCCTTTACGAGATCCAAGTCTTCGTTTCGGTTTGCAATAAATTTCTATATTTGTCAATTAAGCCAAGGAAACCTTAGTAAATACTTTTCATAAATGTATGGCATTTCCCTCAGTGGGGATCAGTGTCACCAACCATGTTAAAGATAATACATAATTACATTATCAAAATACATAAATTTCATTAATTTAAATATCTAAGGTTAAAATATTTAATGTGATATAATATAGACAGCTCAAACATCTGTTTTATTTACTCTATGATTTATATAGACTTTGTTCCGGATGTTAAAACTTATTTTAACCGTTAATGGAATCAAGTGTTGATGGAATTTAATTTTAATTTTTCCCCCTAAATTTTTGTTAAACGGTGTTCATCATGTATAAAGTTTCAAGAAGCGTTTATTCTACAATTATAGAACTGTATCTAACATAAAAGTAAAATATTCTTTAATGGAATGTTTAGTTAGAAAATATTTTGTATTTGGCAACAGTACTATTACGTTAGGTGGGGGAGCGAGGTGGTCTAGTAGTGAGAGTACAAGACTTCGGTTCCAGAGGTCCCGAGTTCATATCCTGCCAAATCACCAATGGATTTTATCCATGTGATAATACCGCAACCCCTAGGACTAGCCTAAAGTAATGTGAAAAAACAATTCCGGGCACGCGCCTAGCGTCCTAGGACAAAAAAAAAACATCTACGTTAGGTGCCCCTGATTAATTCTTACATAATTCTAGGAGAATAAGTTAGGGAAAATGTGAGTATTTTCTGTATGGGTAAAAAAAAAACAAATAAACTTGGATATTTAATAAATTGAGAGTTTGACTGTAATTTCAACGGTAAGATGAAATATAGCAGCAGACATCTAATATACTGTTGTTTTTAATATTAAACAATATACGACATTTTTGGCGTCCCAATAAAGTATATACTTTAGTATGGAATGTGTCATGGAAGAAACTATATTAATATTGTAAATTCCCTTTTCATGTTATAGTATTTTTGACACTAATATAAAACCCTAATCATTAATCAAAGAGATATGATAAGAATAAATTTGGTATCTTGTAAATTAATTTATTACTTGAACTATGAATGATAAATCCGTTTGCCTAATTGGTACAAACTATTTTACTTACAGTTTGCAAGAAGAATTTTGAAATAATCTATTAAAACATTTATGCTAGTAGTTCTTATTAATTAATAGGTTACATTTCGATTGTTTAATTGTTCTGAAAATCGTAATATAAAAGTTTATCGCAAAATTAGGGGAATGTAAAATGAGAGTTTTCCTGATAAACCATCTGATCGATATGTACATACTGATCACACACTCCACAGAAACGTGCACAACGGCTTAATTTACGAAACGCTGTTTTCAGAATTCAACTTACAATTTGAACAAAAGACTTTTGCTCTACAAAAGAATATTGCACCAAAACTTCCAACGCAATTGAATAACATATGCCATAAAAATATTTAATTTTAGTTAGGTAAGGTTATATGGAAAGGTAGGTATCAACGAATAACTATAAAGCTTCGAAAAAAATTTATCTAATTTACAACTGTAATAGTTTCCAGCACATTATCATTATTATAATAAATCATTATCCAATTATTATAAAATAATTGACTTTTATATAGTGTATGAACTTATGATCAGGCAGTGAAGTGTAACAGATAAAATAATAACCACAACTATGTTGACACATTAACACAATGTTGCGGTTTTATAGGGGAGTGAAATTAGCAATTACTTCGTTGTTTTTTGTTAAGACATCACAAAAACCACTAAACTTTTCTGAAAAAATACAGTTTACAAAAACTAAGCAAAATTTTCAATATTTTTACGCGTGCTTAAAAATATCCGTACTAAAATATTAATCCATGTTACACCAGAAAATAAATTCTATACCAATTCTATTTGTATTCTATCAGAGTGATTGGTTGGGACATTAGTTAGGCCTGGATAGAGTAATTCAGTTGCAAGGCTTTGCGTGCATTTGCAATTGTAATGAGCCAAGTCCTCTAGGTAGGCTTGAGGTAACAGCTGATTGTAGATGTACATGTATATGTTAGTGTGATGCTGGTGCATGTGCAATTGCACCGAGTGCATCCACAGTACGTGCATCCACAGTACGTACATCCTCAGTACGTACATCCACAGTACGTGCATCCACAGTACGTACATTTACAGTACGTGCATCCACAGTACGTACATCCACAGTACGTGCATCCACAGTACGTACATCCACAGTACGTGCATCCACAGTACGTGCATCCACAGTACGTGCATCCACAGTACGTACATCCACAGTACGTGCATCCACAGTACGTACATCCACAGTACGTGCATCCACAGTACGTGCATCCACAGTACGTGCATCCACAGTACGTGCATCCACAGTACGTGCATCCACAGTACGTGCATCCACAGTACGTGCATCCACAGTACGTACATTAAAATTATTGCGGCAAAATAAAATGAGCATGACAAAAGTAGGTAAATGCAGCAATTAGCTACTTTGCGTGCTATAATCAGTGCAAGGAAGCCCACTTTGTCCGGTGACTGTAGGAAATGTATCATTGAAACGTTTACGTAAAGATGCATTTGCCTGTAAACTCAAAAAGCAAATTTTTCTTTAGCTAAGTAGGATAACCGCTATAAAATAATACAGTTAAAAATGGATCGAACTGTTATATCATTTTGATGACCTGTAAAAGGTTGTATTGATGTATTTCAACTGAACAGTGTTGTTTCCTGGAACCTGTGCTCTGTCGATGAAAATGTGATCAAGAAAAGTGATTGATGAATCTTTTTACTGAAGCCAATGAACGTGAAATGAACCCGCAACATCATGTCACCCAGTCAAATGTTGATATCTGTCTCTCACTTTATTATTTTGGAAAAAGTTGCTCATCGGTTTCTTGGATTTATTACGTTGATATTTTTCTCTTTAATTAATAGCTAAACATATTTTTCTTCCCAATAATAATGCACGTTGTAGAACAATAGAGGCAGTAAAAATTATTAAAATTAATATAAATAACGTAAAACAGTAACGTTTAAACTTTCATATAATTGAGATTAGATTAGGCGATCATGATCACATTAAATGTGTAGCAAAAGACTTGACCCGTTTATACTAAAAAAATTCAACACAGTTATTTCATTTGGGTTTGCCCGAGTAATTTTATAATTAGTAAAATTATTAAAAAAAGCTATTAAAAAGTCGGATTGCTAATCATTCTACTGCGATCTTCGATTAATTACTTTGTAATCTCATTGAAACCTAAATCACTTAAATGCCATATTATTTGCAATTTTAGAGCGTTAAAATAAATCATTACGTTAATGCTCCATTCCGTTCCTTTTTTATACCGGTCAATAGAGATGGTGATTAATAATTAAATGAATAAGACAGAGTATACATCTTTTAAAATGTATATAATAAAAATATAAAAAGTAAAGCTTAACAAGATGCAACCAACGTACGTCAACACTCATATTACTAATATAACGTTTAAAATATATAAAGAAATCCTTCGAAATTATTTTAAACTACAAACAAACAGGCTTACACTAAACTGAACCTTATCTCAAATACTGCAAAACAAAACTGGATCCTCTGGGATTTGATTGGTCACTGTTGCTACCCACTAGAATGGTTTGATTCTTTTATCAATTCTATTTCTGTAACTCTTAAGGGTGTTTGGTCGAAAATTTACCTGTCTGATTTTTGTTTTGTTTTGTTGTACTAAAAATTAGAGATACAAATATATAAGATTGTTTTATTTTGAATATTAAGCGAGATATAGAGCTTGAAAGTAATAAATTTGTCATCTTTGGCACCAATTCACAGGGAGAATGGGTAATGCGATTCTCACAAAAATTTGCATTCAGGTGTGGAAAAATAAGATTATAATCAGTAATCACTAACTATTGAAAATTATATTGAAAATTATTCACGTTTGGGCTGTGAATTCGTACCTTTGATGCATTGCACTGTCGGAGCACTACTCGTTGAGAGTTTGTACACTAACATTGGGTCTGTAGAATACCTTAACATCACGTAATTATTATCATCTTTAACATTAAAATAATACGTTTATCATTGTATTCTAATGACCCGATGTATACAATTGAACGATAACAAAAAATAAGACATCAATTTTTTTCCCAAACACCCTTAAAGATAATGGGAGGACAATCACAAGTAGAGCAACAAAATAACTAGCATTTTTATGTATTATATTCACAAAATCAAGGTGAATTACTTCCTCCCACAACACGGCATCTACTGCAGTAACAGCCTTCACTATCAGGCCATGACAGTTTGATGGATTGACCAAAGTAAAATAAATAACGGGTATATTTACCACCATTCAAGCAGTTTATGCTCTTTCATTAAACCCAAAAAATATAAAACAGGTTTTTGGTGGCGTAGCTTTACAAACTGAAAAAGGTAAAAAGGAAGTTTTATGTTAGAAAGTATTTTCGTCAGACTAAATTTGACTTTTTACCTTATATAATCTACCAAGGTTTAATTCAACATTCGTTATATTTGATTCATTATCAAGTATTTGTGTTTTAATATGACACTGATGTAAGTAATTCGACTGTGTGAAATGCGATTTAATATAGATTTGTTTAATAGTAGACAACAGTTAATTAATACGTTTCACTAAAGAACTATTGTATCATAAAATTACTTGTGAATGAGATAATCGTGAATGTACAAAGCGTGGTGTATATAATATACGACGATAACATACTTAGTGTAGATAACATAACCGTGTTCATTCCATGTTTGAAACTTTATATTAAAAAACAATTAAATTAAATAAAAGGATTAGCTGTCACTGAGATTTCAAACGGTAGGTTTATTTTGTAAATCGAAATTAAACAACTTTATGAGTAAAAATTCTCATTTTTCATGTTCACTACATAAACAATTTCCACAATCGACAAAAAAGGCCATAGTTTAACCCCGGAATTATTTCATCTCGTACGACGATTTGCTTGAATAAGGGCAATTTCTCTGACACTTTTATCACTGTCGTTTTTCATTTTGGCTTACCACTACATTTTTACTGTCAGTCTTTATATATATTTAAACACATTGTATTACAACTTAGAGGAATATATTAAACATCCAACAAAAGCTTAAGTGAATATAATTGATCTTTGAAATATTATTAATCATACAAAATAATTGATGTGTTAAAATGTAAAGTGACACACTCCGAAAAGAATTATACTAGCATTAACAGATCGTATTGATGGTATAGATTTGTAGTAAGTTATTATTTTTTGTTTTGTTTTAATATTTATTATCAGTTGAGATGGGGACGCCAAGTGAAAAGATCTGTGTAGCTTTTCCACTAACCAGCTGTTTTTAGCCAGGATTATTTATTAAAAGCCCAATGATCAGGAACAGCGGGGTCCAGTTTCGAGCCATCAAAAAGCAAGGTATATGTTTTAAATGGTTTGTTAATATATATTTACCATAATATTTTTATTGTTTGTCTTGTCCCCTGAGAAGATAATTCATAAAGGTTCGCGTCAGTGAGGATGATTCAATCATCACCAGAAAACTAATTAAATTGTTGTTTGCCTGAAAAGTATGGCCACTGTTACTTTTAACAAAGTCATACAAGTAAAACAATTTGATTTTTTAAACATGCACATAATTTCCACAAAATATTGTAAAACATGAGGCCATTTTAGCGTAAATTAATGTTATAGCTATCCACAATTGTAAAACCAATAGAAATTTGATGTTTATTAATAAACGTGTTCAAATTATAATTATTCCAGGCACATAAAGTATGGATATCGGTAAATGTTTACTCATAACAAGATTTTTCGTAACAAGTATATCTACACTAGCAGAGTACCCGTCCTTCGTACTATTCCTGTAGAAAATTGATAGTAAAGTATTAATTTTGGTGTCATTAACAAATTCATATATTCAGTAATTATTATAAAAAATTGAGCAACAATAGCTCAATTAATATTGTAAATATTTGTTGTAGACTGTATTCAGGTTTTCAAGGAAGTCAAAGGAAAAAGCCCATTATAGATGCTGGTGCCAGCTTCCGTTCCATCTGATAATTAATTCACCTGTCTAAAGTAAGTCATACAATGGTAAATTCGCAACGTTAACATTCAAATCCAATTAGGCTATTATTAATAAATCTAAATACTTGATACAAATGTTCGTTAGATGTTTACTTAAGTCCGGTGACCAATTTGAATATATATATATTTTGGCTTTATACAAAATTGCAAAACAAAATCAACAGTTTCTTTAGGTAGTTTTAAAACGATGTATTCTCTATGTAGTCCAATATTATAATTTTTTTAATCAATACGTGTAGAATTTGTCGACTGGCCAGACAATGTAGTATGGCTATTTAATATGTCCAGGGTGGCTACTACAGACTCGCCCCCTTCAATTTTTTACTGTAGTACAATATGGTAGTATTTGATTTATTTCAGAAACACCACTTCTATGATAATCGATTACTTTGTCCTGAGTACTAAATAATATTATTGAACATACTATTGTATAACGTATTGCCAACTACAGTATAGTTGTGAATATGGTTGATGCAAGAGCTCACAACCAAATACCTGACAACATGTAATTATGAAACACTAATTATTTAATGATTTGCCTTTAACTGTTTAGGGACCAAATATTGAATGTATTACCTACAAAAAACATTTAAAATTTGATCATATACTTTGCTAGTTACAATTCAAAATTTATCAAATTATTCGTTTTTCTCTGGATTAAGCCTACTAAAGAAATCCCAAAAATAATGTATTCCTAATCCATCACAACTACATAGGAGTTTTCTACATGTATTTAAAATGCAATAATCAATATTGCAAATTGAAAATCCACTTTGCTTGGCCTGTGTTAAGAGTGTAAGCAATGAATTGAGTTAATATCATGTTTGAATGCTACAGCACAAGTACCAGAGTAATATTAAGCCATTAGGAAATGCACCGTGTAGTTGTAGTCGTTTGTTTATGCATAATTCATACAGAAGCCCTTCTAACACTGCACTTGTATTTGAGAGTTAGGTATTCAAGTTAGCTTAAATACAGTTTAATTATTTTGGAATGTAATATATTTTAAGTTTATTTAATCATTATTGTAAGCTACTTCTTGATCGGCACTGTGGATGTTATTACAATTATGGAAAGTAAAAACATACGTCTGATAACACTTTAACATATTCAGTGATATATATACATTGCAAATGTATGGATTTTATAGGTATAGGTATAGGTAGATTGATTTTATAGGTGATTGATTTCAATTGGACACTGCAATCATCATGACAAATAGTAAAATTTTCCAATGGTACTAGGAATTCGGGTGTTAATTTAAAAGTCCCTTAATTATTAAATGTTACTTGGACAAAATAAAAAACTGAAGAGTGTTG